GGAGGCCCTTCCCTGGTGGGTCCTCTCTTCGTGGGATGGCAGGGGCCAGGGCCCTGCTGGGCATCCAGAGGGAGTTGAGGCCCAGGGGCTTGGCTGGGCCACAGGTGCCTCCTGGGTTGGCTGCTGCAGGGGTGTGGCCTCTGCCTGGGCGGGTGGGGGCCTCGGGCAGCCCYAGCCTTCCAGGGGCTCCATCTCTGTCCCTTGGGTGCCCTTCTTGGTTCAGGGCTGGAACTCTGGGCCTCAGGAACTTGGGCTTCACACCCACTGGTGAAATAGGCCACGGTGTCGGGGAGAGGGGTTCAGCACTTGGAGCAGTGCTAGTAGGTGCTTCTAGGTGCCCCAGGCGGGCGGGCGGGCTGGGGAGTGGCCTGRGTCCCACCTGGCTGTAACGGCATCTCCTGGGAGCGGGTGGCTGTGCAGTGTTCCCAAGGACGGTTTCATCTGATAACAGAACTTGGAAACCGCTGGAAGGAGGGTCCTCTGAGCACGCCTCTCCCACCCACCTGCAGGAAGCACCTGCAGGAACCCCCACCCTGCCGCCTCCCTGTCCCTCTGCAGAGCTAACTCGCCCCCACCCCAGGCCTCTCCTGCCTCCTGCATCACTGCAGTGCACACTCGGGCACGCCACGCTGTGTCACACCCTGAAGGTGCCATCCTCGCCTGCCCCCGCACTGGGCCACATCCCTCCTGTCCTGCCCTCTCTGGGCTCCAGCCAGCCCTGGGCTGGGGGCAGCTGAGGACGGGGGCCAGAGTGGCTCACAGCTGGGCTGGGCCTCTTCTGCCCTCCCCACCAGGAAGGCCCTTGGGAGGGGCCCAGGGAGCGAAGGCCAGCTCGACCTGCCCCACRCCCTGTCCTGCCCTCTCTGCTGCTGTCCTGGGGGAGGCCAGTCAAGTACCCAGCCCCCGGCTAAATGGTACCCCGCACGACGGCAGGTCCTTGTCATGGGGGGGAAGCCGCACCTTGGGGGCGGCCTTGATCTTCAGCCACCAGTGCTGAAGTCCCCTCTGCTCCCTGACACAGTCACCGACCCATGGTTCCCGAGCCCGTGGCATGTCAGYGGGCTGCGTTACTAGAGGCCGGCTCCTGAGCCCACCCTGGACGGCAGGGGCCTGGGGGTCTGCGCTCCAGCCCGTTCCTGGGCCTGGCCCACAGCTTGGGCAGCTCTGGGGGAAGCCCTGAGTGGGCGGGCGCCCAGTGCGGAGAGTGTGGCCTGGGCCCACCAGGGGACGTGCGGCTTCCTGGGACAGCGGCTCAGAGCTGGGCAGGGGCGCCCAGGGAGGGCGGGCTTCCAGGCAGGGGAGGCCTGAGCAGGGGCCTGGGGTGACCCGTGACCCCCGGGGGTCCAAGGGCAGGAGCAGGGTCAGACCCTGGAGGGAGTCTCCCGGCCTGGAGGTGTCAGAGGCGCCCCAGGGAAGGGTTAACCAGGTCCTGTCCCCTCCACTGCCACGTCCGTCCTCCGAGGAAATGCGTTTTCCAGGAGCTCYGCACAGGATGGCCGAGGAAGTGAGTCAGGGCCCCGGGGAGAAAGTGAGCCCAGGCCGCTGCCCGCCGGCCACGCGTGGCCTTCTCCCCAGCAGCYTGGCCGTGGAGTGGGCGTCTGGCTTCGGCAGGCCCTGGCTGCGTCCGCCCGGCTGGGCCCTTGGAGACCCTGCRATGGGTCCCCACCGTGTCACCGTGTCGGGCGGATCGGCTCGTTCTGTTCTTGTTACGGAAGGCCCGAGGTCAAGGGCAGCTGCTCTGGAAGAGGAGCTGGGGGCCGGGGCTCCCCTGGGGCTCGGCCATGGCACCCTCTCCAGACTGGACGCTTCGACGTTGCCTGTGATCCACAGCTCCCCCCGCCCTCCCCTCGTCTTGGGGGAGACCCCCAAATCCAGGGGCCACGCATCCCTGGGACCTCTACCAGTGCTGGCCCGTCCTTCCCTGGCCTGTTTCCAGGCTGTGAGATGGTCAGCCAGGAGGCCCTGCCGCCGGGTGGACGCCACGGATGTCGCAGCATTGGGGACCACGGGGGTGTGCTGCTGTGGCCCCTTCTCAGCTCCGGCCAGGGCTGTGGGGGAGGCTGGGGCTTCGCACTGAGACTCCTAAAGGTGGGGTCTGGCCAGCTCCGCCCTCCTCACCTCCAGAGCCCAGGTGGGCAGGCCCCTGTGGCCCACTGCGAGCCCCTGGCCCAGGTCTCCAGGGCCCAGGCCCCCTCATTCCTGGCTGAGCCAGGTGGTGGACACCCAGGGTGGTGACTGGGCACTGGAAAGCCCTGCTGGGGACATTGGGGGCTCCATCGTGGACACTGCCCATGCCCTTGGGGTGGGCTGGCTGGGTGGCAGCCACCCTTGGGTGGGACTGGTAAGGGACAAAGGGGATGCTAAGTGGACAGCACCCTGGCTCTGCCCAATCTGGAATCTTCGACTGGAGCCCAGCGGACCTGCCCCGGGGTTCTGCAGACTTGGGTCCAGGGCTGTGAGCAGGGAATTTTCTGGGTGGGGTTTCCGCGTTGCCGTTGTACTTCCGGAGAGCAGGCTTTGTGCTCCGAGTTTCCCCTTGAGGTGACCTGGAGCTGAGCTGGCCACTGGTGGAGCTGGGGTCAGGGCAGGGGAGGGGGAGGGAGGTCCAGGGCTGGGTCACGAGCCGCTCAGAAAGTGTACAGAGCTGTTTCTCCGACACCTGTGGCAACGGCATGTCCTAAGCTCTTTGCTGCAATCACCCTTGAGGTAGGCTTCGTTTTTATTCCTCAATACAGGTGAGGAAAAGGAGCCCAGAGACGGTGAGTAACCAGTCCAAGCACACACAGCCGTAAGTGCCCGGCTGAGACTGGAACTCAGGTAGTCGGGCTCCAGAGTCCATTTCACTCGGGGTGGGTTGAAGGAGTCCAGGGGCCCCTCCTTGTCAAACCTGAAGTGTTGATGGGGACAGAGCTGTCCTCTTAGGAGTGGTTACTCAAATAACCAGAGTGGAACGGAATGAGCCATGAAGTGTCAGGAAGGACCTGCCCTTGTGTGTGTTTGAATCCTTCAGTGACAGGGACCTCACTCCCCAGCCTGCCTCTTTTGCTCTCCAAGGCCAGTTCAGGGGGGCTGATGCAAATGGTCCTGCCCTCTCCTGGGGTCTTGTCTCCAGACAATCGTGACTCATGTTGAAGGTCAGTGGGTCCGAGAGATACACGTGAATTCTAGTCAGCTCCACCCTAGCTTGCTGTGTGACCTCAGGAAATCACTGGCTCTCTCTGGGCCTCAGATATAACCATCATCAAATGGAGAATTTAGGGCCAATTCTCAAAGTGATCTGTGAACTTCAAGTTCACGGTGGATGAACGTCGCAGGGGATGCCGGGAGGAGGCTGCCTAGAAGAAGTGACATTTGGCCTGAGGTTAGAGGGGGGTGGTAGGGGGTGGCAGACAGAAGGAAGGAGGTGGTCTGGGAGGGATCTGTCCTGTCCCCGGATGCTGGGTTTCCTTCCGCTGGTCTGAGGAACCTGAAGGCTTAGAGAGGACAGAGCGAAGCCCTAAAATCACAGTCCAGGAAACAGCAGCCCTTCCCTAAAATACTCTCACGTCCTTTTTCTCAAATGGCCATGTGATGCCACCAGGGCAAGGTGACAAACCCACCTGCAATGTGACTGCAGCCATGAGGCCCCGAAGTCGGGTTTATCCCTCGAGCTGGGACACAGGGGACCTTACATCAGGGCCACAGTGGTGGAGGGAGGGCTGGTCTGGGAGGACATGAGATCCTTCTAGGTCCCCTCGTGCTGCAGTGCTGCCCTCAAACCTCAGGCCCAAGCTGCCTCTTCCGGGAAGCCCTCCTGATTTCCTCCAAACTCAGCCTCCTCACCTGCCTCTGGGTGGCCCGTCCTCTCTGTGGCAGAGGTCTGCATGTGTTGCTGTGGTCAGACAGGCTCCCCACAGGACGGGGACGGCTGTCGGCAGGCAGTGTGGTCGCTGGGCCAGCTGGTGGTCCGAAGGCCAAGCCACCGGCATTTGTCTGTATGGGCACCAGTCACGATGGTCCTGACCAGGCAAGAAAAGCCCCCAGCCTGGAGCATTCCTGCGCAAGTCATTTAAGTCCCAACTGTTCACCCAACAGCGGTGCCAACCCAGAACCGCGGGAGGATTCCTGCAGGGGCAGGGGTGGGCAGGGGGCTGGTAGGTAGCAGGAGTCAGCCAAGAGCAGCTGTGGGTGGCCAGAGGTGCCCATTCAGCCCTGGGACCGGAGCTGGCAGAGCTGGGTCTCTCCACCCTTTCCCGGGTAGAGTCCGGTTCTGGTGCAGACTCGCTGGTCCCTCTGCTCTCCCAGCGGCCCAGGCCGGCCGCAGCTCCCCCTGCTGGTCATGGCKGGAGACGCCCTTCCCCGGAGCCCCTGTAGGGGGCGCCGTGGAGGCGCTGATCCTTCTCTGTGGGCGCAGCGTTCACCTCTCCCGGCAACCTCTGCACCTGGCCTCGTCCTCAGAGAGGTGGACCAGGGGCTCCCTGGGTGACCGAGAAGAGGCTGACCACCCTTCCCTGCCCAGGGGAAGCTGAGAGAGGGCTCTGGCCAGCGGTGGGAACCGCAGGAGGCTGGGACTGACCCAAGGAGAAGGGCTTCCTGGAGGAGGCGTCCTCTGCGCTAGGTCCAGGGACGATCAGGGGCTGGATCAGGGGCTGCGGTGCAGTCGCCATGGGAGAACTCCGAGAGCCCCGGTTTTCAAGGTCTCCTCAGGCCTGGCAGGGGCAAGGCGCAGACGGCTGCAGGTGGAACACCCCCGCGATTCCTGGGCCCGGGGGTCTGTCCTCAGCCCCACTGCATGTGCCTCACACGGGCTCCYGCAGCGAGTGGGCGAGCAGCTGGGCTCAAGGGCAGCCCGGCTCTGGACAGCCGCAGCCCCTGGAGGTTCAGCCTCTGGCCACTGCCGCCTCAGCCTCTGGCCACAGCCGCCTGAGRCCGCTTCCTCCCGCCTGCCCACCCGGCCCTCTGCAGGGCAGCCCCGGCAGCCCTGGTCCCGGCTCCCAGCCAACACTCAGGGTCTCTTGCAGGTGGTGACTTCCCGGGTGACTTCCGGGGAGGATGATGGCTGCCCGGGTGCCGCTGTTCCTCCTGAGTCTGCTCTTCCTGGCTAAAGGTAGGCCTTCCCCAGGGGCCCTGGGGCTATCATGTCCCCTTGCAAGGCAGGAGCCAGCACATGCCAGCCCCTTTGGGCAGTATGGGTCTGGGGGTCCACTTGGCTTGTGAATGGTGCTTTGGAGAAMAGAAATGGTCACCTCCTTCTTCTGGCAAATGCAACCCCACAAGCACACAGCTCCTTGRGATGGGGACCATGAACTRGGTTTTAGCAACCTCTGTACCTGGCCTCGTCCTCAGAGATGCTCTGCTCACCTTGGCAGCAAATATTGTTGGAYAGTACACAGCCTGCACAACAGGACATAGTAACAGTGTCCTCATGAGATACTTTATTACCATTAAAATTCTTTTTTTTTTTTTGCCTTTGGAATTATTATTTATTTTCAGTTTTCTCTTTTTGTATTTTTGAAGCCAGATTTTTTTTTTTTTATGTGGTATCAGGGTTGAATTTAGGAAGGCCTGACCGCTGAGCTCCATCCCATCCCTTTATATCCTTTCATTTGGAGACAGGGTCTCACTTAGTGGCCCATGCTGGCCTTGAACTTGTGATCCTCCTGCCTCCGCCTCTCGTGTACCTGGGATTACAGGTGTGCACCACTGCACCTAGCTGAAGCCAGGGACCCACACATTTTTGTAGACCCTTTGCTCTCCAGGCCCTTGGAACACGTGGGTGTCCTGTCCCCTCCCATGTCCCCTGGCTAGTCTCTGCCATGGGTCCCCGCTGCAGCCTCTGCCTTCCCAGGTGCCCATGGCGGTGGCCCCAGGGAAGACTTCCGCTTCTGTGGCCAGCGGAACCAGACGCAGCGGAGCAGGCTCCAGTACCTGCACACTCCGGAGCTGCACATCTCCATCAGGAACTCCGAGGACGCCCTCACCATCCTCGCCCCCTTTCCCGAGGTCCCCGAGGCTTCCCGGGCCTTCCCCGAGCCCAGGGGCGTCTACCACTTCTGCCTCTACTGGACCCGCCACACGGGCAGGTTCCACCTTCGCTATGGCAAGAACGACTTCCTGCTGAGTGACCGGGCCTCAGACCTCCTCTGCTTCCAGCACCAAAAGGAAGGTCGGGGCCAGGGGCCCCTGCTGCTCGCCACCTCCGTCAGCTCCTGGTGGAGCCCCCAGAACACCAGCCTGCGGGGTGCCACCGGCTTCACCTTCTCCTTCCACAGTAAGACAGCCTCAGGCCACAGGCACTGGGGAGCCATAGAGGGCACCTGAGGAGGGGAGGAGCGAGACTCAGTGTGAGCCTCAGGCAGGGGTGAGGGTGGTGTGGCAGGTGCCATGTGGCTGCCGCCTCCCAAGGGCACGGAAAGCGGGTGGCAGAGGGCACTAGGCTTCCGGGGGTCTGGGTTTTCTTGCTGCTGTTCCTCTCAGGCTGCTGCTGTTGGGGGTAGGGGTCYCCAGGACAGGGGACACAGCCCCTCGATGTGTCAGCAGGTCGAGGCCAGGGAAGGTGGTGGGGATGGGCCTGGCCTGGTGCCCTGCAGCGCGGCAGGCAGGGCTGGGGAGGCCCCCAGGTGCGTCCCCCATGTGTCCTGAGGAGCAGGCGCCTGGGCTTGTGGGGCCGCAGAGGGTTTTACAAAACACGAGCCGGAGTTTTCATATCGGCCCATAACCAGGCTTTCTGGGTTATAAATGGAAAAGCTCAGACCCCCAGGGCCTGCCTGCCTCGTGGCACTGGGCACAGGCCAGTGTCTCCATCTGCCCACCCCAGGGGTCCCGTCTGGTCCTACAACCCTCAGGCGCAGGCTGCCCAGAGTAGGGGGCCTGGAGTCAGGGAGGCTGGTGGGGCCCGGAGGCAGGTGGGGCAGAGTCCCCAGAACCACGTCACTGGCCCCACATCCCTCCCGCTGAGGCCTGGCCGGCAGGGCCCCACCTGCTGCTGGAGGGTCCTAGAAGATGGCCCATGGCTGGCCTCATCCTTGGGTGGCCTGGGGGCCCTCTCCACTTCCTTTCGTAAAGCGGGAAGGAGCGCGGAGAGTCTCCTGAGGATGAGGGTCGGGGACGGGCACCTCGGCCCCAGCCTCAGGGCTCCGTCCGTTCCTCCCCCAGAGCCCACCGAGAAGGCCTTGCCCAACGCCTCCTGGGACATGTGTGACCTCAAGAGGGACCTGGGGATGCTCAGCCGGCTCCTGAAGCAGCCCCTGAAGTCCCCCAGGAGGCCCTCGTCCACCCTCGCCAGCCAGTGAGTGTGCTCTGGGCGCGAGGCGGGCAGAGGCGGGCAGAGGCGGGCAGAGGCGGGCAGACCGGAGCTGGCAGGGGGACCCACTGGGGAGGCCGGGAGGCTCCTGGGCTGGACTCTTCTCTGGAGCTGATGTGTGGCCCCAGGCCAAGCCCCAAGGCCAGTGAAGACAAATGTCACAGCCAGCCCAGGGCAGGGACCCAGGCCACCCCCACCAGGAAGGCACAGCCTAGGCCCAGGGTGGAGCCACAGGCAGAGGCTCCGAGACTGTCCCCTGCCCTCCCACACCCTGCAGTCTGCCTGTCCTCCTGTCCCCTCCCTCCTCGTCCCTGCCCCTGCCCAGTCCCCACTTTGTGCCTGCGTCTCCCTGCCACCGGGGTCCCTCTGTGCGTCACCCACACCCCTCCTCCTGGCCAGGCAGCTGCAGAGCCTGGAGTCCAAGCTGGCCTCCGTGAGCTTCCCCGGGGACTCCGTGTCCTTCGAGGAGGACCTGGTCAACGCCACCGTGTGGAAGCTGCAGCCCAGCGCCAGCCTCCAGGACCTGCACATCCACTCCCGGCAGGAGGTGAGGCCAGGGTCAGCGGCGGGGCGGGCAGGAGGCAGGTGCRTGCTGAGCTGGGCGGGCAGTGGAGGTGCAGGCCAGGACCTGTCCCTGCACGGCAGGACCCCCGCCGCTCCCTGAGGCCTCTCCAGCAGGTTCCAGGCCCAGGGCGRCCCTGGGGTCAGTGGCTGTCACAGTGCTGAGTCACAGTGGCAAGGGCAGGGTCTGCCCCTAGGGTCTGCTCTCCACCCTGTGAGGGTGTCTGTTAGTGGGTCACCCCCTGCCTCGTGGCCACCACTCCAGGATGCCACAGGCTGGGCTGGTGTCTGAGGGCCCAGACAACAAACCCATGCGGACCTCCCAGGCCCTGCGCCCCTGGGTCTGACCACGGGCTCCCCAGCCATAGCCGGCTGGAAGGACTGTGGTGGGTCCAGCCTGACCCTSCGGAGGAGGCAGCTCAGAGCACAGTGTGGGGGAGGGGCTTGGGTGGGCAGCAGGCAGGTGGGGTCCACGGTGGGCTGAGCCCTGGGGACTGTGTCGGCAGGAGGAGCAGAGCCAGGTCCGGGAGTACTCGGTGCTGCTGCCGCGCACACTCCTCCAGCAGGGCAAAGGCCGGAGAGGGGAGGCCGAGAAGAGACTCTTGCTGGTGGACTTCAGCAGCCAGGCCCTGTTCCAGGTACCCCGCGTCGTCCCCCCCCCAGGATGGGCTTCTGTCTGACCGAGTGCTGGGAAGAGCACGCTACCGGCCCCACCTCCAGGAGCCAGAGCTTCTCCCTGTCAAGTCCAAAATTAGACGTCGAGAGGCTCCAGTGCGGTCGTTCTCACTACGGTGTGAATGACTACCCGCGAGGCGCTCAGGGCTGGGACAAATGCCAGTCTCCAGAGGCGGGGGACGTCCAGCCTCTCTTCTCAGCCCTGATCTCTTCTCCACCCCGTCTCTCAGGATAAAAATGCCAGCCAGGTTCTGGGTGAGAAGGTCCTGGGCATCGTGGTGCAGGACACCAAAGTCGCCAACCTCCCGGAGCCCGTGGTGCTCACCTTCCAGCACCTGCCGCAGCCGGTGAGCGTGCGCGATCCCACGGCAGCGAGGGTCCCTGTGGCGCGACCCCCTCGCCTTCCCGCTGGGGTGGGCGCGGCCTGACCCCCTCTGCCGGCTGCAATGGGACCCGCTCTCCTCCTTTCTTGTCCCCACAGAAGAAYGTGACCCTACAGTGTGTATTCTGGGTGGAAGACCCCACGAGTGAGTGTGGAGGGGTGTCCGGGGGCGGGACCTGGGGGCGGGGCCAGGCGGGATCGGGGGCGGGGCCAGGGCGCCTCCTGGAGGTTCTGCTCCCCAGAGGTAGGGGCKGGTCCGCGGAATGGAGCAAAGTCCTGGAATCAGGGTGCAGTCAGCCTCTGGGCGAGGGGGTGGGGACAGTGGGGTCCTGGGGGACTGGCACTGATGGAGCCTCATGCTGTCCCCTCCTCAGTGAGCAGCCCCGGGAGCTGGAGCAACGCGGGGTGCGAGACCATCAGCAGGGAAACGCACACGTCCTGCCTCTGCAACCACCTCACCTATTTCGCAGTGCTGATGGTGGGCGCCTCTCCCCGACCGCGAGCCACAACACGGGCTGAGTTCTTGTCCCCTGCCCGGCACTTGTCGCTTATTAATCTGTTTAGTCCTCATTACTACACTCCAGGGTAGTTCTTGTGTCAACCCATTTTATAGATAAGGAAACTGAGATTCAGAGAGGCTAAGCAACTTATCCAAGATCACAAAGCTGATTCTGTTTTTAAAAAGAGCTGGTGTCTGTAAAGCCCGCGCTCTTTAGTCCTAAACATTGGTACGGTGATGAAAGTGTAGATTCTCACTGCTAACCTACAGGGCTGGGGCCAGGAGTGTGTTTCTGAGTCCCTGTGTGGAGGCTGAGGTCCAGCATGGAGGCCCCTGAGGCCAGCTTCAGTACTTCCAGGATCTCAAGAGAATTTGTGTCCCAAGTTCTTGCTCCTGGAATCCTCTGGGTGTGGGAAGCTCACTCCCTTGCAGCAAACCAGTCCTCACATGGAACGTTATAGAAACATTATGGAAAAATTACAGCGTATACATCCCTTGACTTAGGATGCAGACATGTCCCCATAAACCAATTGGTAGTTGAAAATGTCC